GTTTAAACGCCTCTGGGGATAAGAGACTCACTGTTTACAAAGAGAGTCTCCATTTTGAGACAGCTCTAATGGTTATTAAATTTTTCCAAATATTGAACTAAAATGTTCCACTTCCATCCATTGCCGCTGATGCTGTTCTCCTGGTTCAAGCAGGTGAGTCCTACTCCCCTCCATCATGACATCTCTTCAGATTTTTGAAGACAACCAATCATGTCCTGACCATATTGTCTCTTCTCCAGGCTATTCAATCCAACCTATACTTATTAAGTGCCTAGGTTTTCTTGGCAAAGATACTGGACTGGTTTCCCAGTTCCTTCTCCAGCTCATTTTACAAGTGAGGAAACTGAGGAAAACAGGGTTAAGTGACTTGGCCAGGGTCCCACAGCAAGTAAATGTCAGTGACTGGATTTGAATTCAGGAAGATAAGTCTTCCAGGAACTGTACCATGAGCTGAAGATACAAAGACAAAAATAAAATAAAATGCCTGTCTTCAACAATATTATATTCTAATGGTATGTACAACATATTAAAGGTAAGCAAATACATCAATGTGAGGAAGGAGGGAATACTAACAACTGCAATTAGGACAGTCTTCTTGGAGGAGGTGGGACCTGAGATTTAGGAAGGGAAGGATTCTAAAAGGCGAAGTGAGAAAGGAGTGCTGTTCAGGTTTGGGAGATGGCTAGCCTGTGGGAAGACACTAAGATGGGAGATGAAGGGTGGAATTCAGCTTGTAGGCTAGTCTGGCCAGAACTCAGATTATGCAAAGGAAAGAAATGTGAAATAAGCATGGAAAAAACTAAGTTGGAGCCAATTGTGTAAGGCCCAACCAAGGAGACTATGTTTTATCATCGGGGCAACAAGGAGCCACTTAAGGGCACTTAGGTGTTCAAGTAGATAGACTGCCAGGCCTGAGGTCAGGAAGACTTATCTTCCTGAATTCAAATCCAGTCTCTGACATTTACTTGCTGTGGTCCCTGGCCAAGTCACTTAACCCTGTTTTCCTCGGTTTCCTCACTTGTAAAATGAGCTGGAGAAGGAACTGGGAAACCAGTCCAGTATCTTTGCCAAGAAAACCCCAAATGGGGTCCCAAAGAGCAGGACATGCCTGAACAACAACAAAAAGGAACCACTGAAAACTTTGGGGGTGGGTTGGGAAGGAGTAGTGACATGGTCAGAAGTGTGCTTCTAGAGCATTATTTTGGCTATTCGGTGGAGGATAGATTATTAACCATAATAATAAATAGCATTTATATAGCACTTTAAGGTTTACAAAGCATTTTACAAATATCTTATTTGGTTCTCACAACCACCTTGGGAGGTAGGTACTATATTCTCCACAGTTGAGGAAACTGAGGCACTTCAGTGACTTGCCTAGGATCACACAGCTAATATGTATCTTGAAGAAGAATCTGACTTACAGTCTTCCTGACTCCAGGACTGGTGTGTCACCAAAAAAAACAAACGAGAGAAGAAAATCTCCAAAGAAAGGTGTACATCATCACACTGTGGCGGTGGCACCAGGACCCTGATTCTGCACAAGCTTCTGCCTGAATAGACAGCACTGGTGTACCGAAAAGAAAGCTGGACTTGGAATCCGAGGACCCGTGGCACTCTTACTTCATGGATGACCTTGTGTGGCAAGTCACTTAGCCACTCTGGTCTGATTTCTTCCTCTGATTCTTCCAAGGAGGAAGAGTGTGCTGCTCTTCAGTGTACACAATAGGAGCAACTCAAGAAGGAAGCCAGGATGAAAAGACTTTTCCATGGGATTCCAAGTGACATTTGGAAACTCATTGTGGAATGTTTGGGGAATGGGGCTACTGGAAAGCTGCAGAATAGGGGATGTTTGTTCATTCCCTTTCCTGTTTTCTGATACGTCGTGGCCAGCTTACTTGCAAATGGGAAGTTGATGCTGGCTTTTTAGTCAGCCTGGTGGAGAAATTTTCCCAGGTTTCTGGATAGGAACTTAAGCTAAGAAGAACTGATATCCCTTCTCCTACCCACAAAAATATAACCTGGTGGTCCTGGCCCATAAAGTTTTTTTCAGAACTGCATATGGTTTTTAGAAATAATTTTGAGAGCTGAGTGGAAATAATGAACATTAAATATTTTAGTCACTCAAAAAAAGTCATAAATTTTGGGACGGTTTCAGGGAAAAAGTCATTGAGGAGAACCTTTTTATAAAGTTTTTTTCTCTCTTTATCTGTATCTGCCATTCTTTTGGGACCCTGGGCATGTTATTAATTAACCTCTCTGGGTCTAAGTTCGATCATCTCTTGTTCATCCTTCATTTCTGAAGAGGACCAGTGACATCACAAGGTGATGTCTTGACTCATGAATGAATTGGATTTAAGTGAGGCAGAGTTGCACAAAGTTGTCAGCCTTACTCTATCTTCCAGTCATCCGAGTCCAGTGGCAAGACAAAAGTCAGGACTACTGGCAATGACCTGGGATGCCGTAGATGACCTTGGTGTCTTCGATGTCTGACCAAGCTCCAAGTGTTCCATAGCACCTGCTTCAGTCATCTTCATGGCCTGTTGGAATAAGTTGTTCTCATCTGCCTATTCCACTGGGGAAAGTCTTCACCATTGGTTTGAGGCCTGTTGGTTACCCTCAACTTGGTTTAGCCCTTCTGCCAAGATGGTTTTACTGAGGTGTGACCACTGTGCAATGCTATAGCTCCCAGGAGCCACAGCTGAAGAGTCGGGTGACTGACTGGACACCAGAGGTGAATGAACAAGCCAGGGCTCAGCAAGCCCTCACACCAGAGGTACTAGTTCTCCCTGAACACCCCATACACCTTTCCTGTAAAGTAAGATTAAATCACATATCTAAGGTCTTTTCCAGCCCTGAAATTTTTTTTTAACCTTCAAACTAATAGTAAATAAGTCCCCTAGACTGGATGGTATCCACTCCAGAGTTTTGATAGAACTCAAGGACAAAATGGAACTGCTGGCCATAGTAAATAACCTGTAGCTATAACATGGTCACCATCCCAGAGGCCTGCTGCATCATCAGTGTTGCCTCTACCCTGGAGGAGGGCTCCTTTCAGGTTTGCCCTGGTAACTACAGATCTGAGTCTTATTTTCATTCCTCAAAAACTGGTAGAATCTCTAATAAAGGATTTAAACAGAACATTTAGACAATTAGAACAGGCAACATAGTTTCTATAAGGGGAAAACAAGCCTAAATAATCTACTGGAGTTCTTCTGGTGGGAGGAGGGGAGGCACAGGAATAAATATGCAGATGACATAATTCTCCTTTGATGACTCTTAAAAAAAAGTCTCTGATAAAGTTCCACACTAAAAACTAGTTACTAATTGAAATCATCATAGGGCCAGTTTGTTGTTTTTGTTTCTTTTTTTTTCAAGAGCAAGGAGCAGGGGGCAGCTAGGTGGTGCAGTAGACAGAGCACCAGCCCTGGAGTCAGGAGGACCTCAGTTCAAGTTTGGCCTCTGACACTTGACACGTACTAGCTGTGTGATCCTGGGCAAGTCACTTAACCTCACTGCCTAGCCAAAAAAAGAAAAGAGCAAGGAGCAGGCATATAATCTGGAAAAAAAAAGGGAGGGGGGATTGGAGTCAGCAGAGACTATATGGGGAATGTAAAGGGTGGGGATCACCAAGTATGAGGTAGGCCCAGTTTTAATTTTCTGAATGTCCAAGAGGAGGGAACGCATAGTGAAATATCCAAGTACACAAATAAAATGCAGCTCTTATAACAGGCAGATGGAAAATAAATGGCAGGAATGTATTATGGGGCTTCAGGAGGGAACATAAAAACAGCAGGTGAACCTCAGTGTGGACAACCATAGGACAACGTAAAAATGTTCTCAACTCACATAAATCAAGTGAAAACTCAAGAAAGACATCTAGGAATCATCACAGACTACATCCAAAAGACATTGGCCCAAGTTGATGCTTCAGCCAATGGCTTTGGGGTTTTTGAAATTGGCATCATGGAGGACAACCAATCACTCCCTCCTATGAGGGAGGTGCCTTGGTACCTTTAAGTGAACAGAATTCTGAGTGGAACATGCTTTGGAATTGGAAATGGGAGCTCCACTACATCTAAATGACAGGTGTTGGTTCCCATGAACTGGAGCAACAGCTCCTACATGGCAGGAGAATTGTCAGGAGTAAGGGTAAGATGGGTAGGGGCTAAAAGACAAAGTTGATGATTCTAGGGCAGTTCTTAACATTTTTTTGTATCATAAACACATTTGACAGTCTGCTAAAGTCTGTGAACTTCTCTGATTAATGCTTTTAAATTCCTAAAATAAAAATATGAATGATTATAAAGGAAACCAAGTATACTGAAATAAAGTTATCAGTTTCTTTTTGGTGAAACAATCCAGGTTAAATGACTCGCCCAGGGTCACACAGCTAGTAAGTGTTAAGTGTCTGAAACTGGATTTGAACTCAGGTCCTCCTGACTCCAAGGTCAGAGCTCTATCCACTGCTATCCACTCTATCCACCTAGCTGCCCCCAAAATATTTTTTAAAAAACAAGTTCACAAAATATGTTTACTAGGAATGTATATGTATAGCCTATATCAGACTGCATGCTGTCTTGGAGAGAGAGATAAGGAGGGAGGGGGAGAAAAATTTAAAACTCAAATGCTTATAGAAGTGATTGTTGATAATTCAAAATAAATTAATTTTTTAAAAAACAGAGGGGGGGGAGGGGAGGAGAAACAAGTTCACAGACCCCAGGTTAAGAACCCTTGCTCTAGGGTAAGACATAGGAAAGCAGCTAGAGGGGGAAGATGGGATATTGTGAGGGACAGGATGCTCAGGGTATGGGACTTCCTCTTGGTATCATACCTTGCAGTATCTCAGTCCCAACTCACCCTTTCTTTCTTTCTTTCTGCTGGCTCCATGAAGTGGCTTCCCCGCCGCTATGTGTCCCCAGTGCCACAGTTACCTATTGCTTCTGACATGCAACTTCTTTTCCCTAGATCTCCTGTCTCTGAAGTATGCACAACACCCCTTCTGGGACTTTCCAAAGATTTTTATTGTTAGTTGTCATGGAGGAACAAAGTACAAAATATCTCTTTCCTAACATTGCATAATTATAACTAAGCTTGGTCTGGAAAAAAATTGAGAAAATATACCTCCTTCTCTTCTTGGAGGGAGTAAAGAAGCAGAACTATGGATGTAAAATATTACATATATTGTCAAATATGATTTTATTGAACTATTTTTTTCTCTTTTAAAAAAAGATCTTGTTTAAAGAGATGGTTCGTGGTAAGAGTAAAGGGAGGGATATATTCAGAAATAAATGTGAAGTGAAAACAAAAGTAGTGATAAAAACAATAATTTTTTTAACCTCCCCATTATATTCTCCTTCTCCCCCCCAAATTAGAAGACAAGAATGACAAGTGATAATGGCAGTCTTTGGGTAGATAAAGGACTTCAGAAGGAATCATTCTACTCCAAGGTTTGGAAAGCATTCCATCTATGTCTGGAAAATACTCCCTGATGCTAGACTCACAGAGTGCTCAGGCAATAAAGCATTAAACACTGTCCCAATAGATCCCAGGGTCTTTTTAGTCTTGTTTTCCCTAGCCCTGGTGGGAAATCCTTCAAGATCTCACCTAGTAAAGCCTAGGCCACTTTACTCATTCTGGGGACTTACTAGCCTTATTCATCCTTTATGGTTAAAAATCCAAACCAAAGCTCAGGGCAGGGCCACAAGACCAGATAGTGTCAGAGCTCAGATGGGAACTAGTTCCAGGAACCAAGAACCAATCCTAAACCCCTGGTACATAATACAGTACACAAGGAAATGGAAAGATGGGTTCCAGAGGCAGACCCTTTTTAAAGCCAAGAAAGGAACAAGAAGGTAGGGTGGGATCTTCCTAGACCAGTAAATGGTCAGAGGGGTAAGCCTGTGAAGGAACCATCAATACACAGCAGCTATCGCCATGCCCACCCATGGGCTATCAGAAATGTTCGTCTCACATTAATACCACAGACTTCCTGTTGAACACCAGTTTCAGCCCTGATGTCCCAGTAGCAGTTTGCAGGAAAGTGGGTCACAAGGTGTCCTTGTCCATCCACCCTGAGAATCTTCTCCCTAGCTTGAAAGCACCCTCTGCATTCGTTCCCGAACTTCCTTTGGTCCCAAGGACACCATCATCTCTGCAACAGCTGGGCCTCGCTGAAAATAAGAAGAAATCTTGGGATCAGATCCCTAAATGTTCAGGAGACATCTTCCACCTGCCATTACAGTTAGAGATAGACCACTCTGTGGTTTGGTTAAGTCTTTCTCAGGACTTAAAAGCTTAAAAGATGAGGGGGAGCCTAGGGGAAGGATTCTGAGGAGAAGCCAGCCAAACTGACCTGCTGTCCACTGAGTGCCATGCGCAGAAGTTTCATCATTCTGACATACTCGACACCTTCTGTTTTCTCTGACAGTCTTTTCAGCTCTTGGTTCAGCACCTCCTGAGTGAGAGGTATGCCAGGTGTTTCCAACAACCTAGAAGAAGCCCAACTGATTCATTAGATCTCCCATAGATTTCTGAGGGATTCTCCTCAGAGAGGGGCCCAAGGGAAGGAATGCAAAGTGGGAAAGAATTTCCCAGAAGGCTCTCACTCAGCAACAGTGTAGAATATGGTAACTGTCAAGTTTTAAAGTTAACTTTGAGAAGAAACATACTATGTTTAATCCAATCTGGTTAAGTATGAAAGTTTTCTAGAAAAATGACCCAGGAAAACACAATCTCCTGTGAATGTTTAGTCTTCCAAAGGTAGGAAACAGTAGACTACAGGGTGACCAAAGAGAAGAAAAAGAATCCATTTTTATGCAGGCAAGTGGAAATAAAAAGGAACACCACCAGAAAGTCAGAAAATTGCAAGGCCTTCAGAGCAAGAGAGTGAGTGAGTCAATTAGATGACAAAAGGATTAGGACTTCTGGCGAATTACTTGAAGCAGAGACTAAACAAAAGTCAGCAAAGATGGCAATGGTAATTCATCAAAAGATCTCTCCTCTGGTAATAGCTATCTTCCCATAACCCTCCTCCCTTTAGTAGCTAAACAACTTGAGCAGGCCATTGACAGTCAATGCCTTTACTTCCTTTCCTCTCACTCTCTTCTTAACTCTCTGCAATCTGGCTTCCAACCTCATGATTCAACTGAAACAGATCTCTCCACGGTTATCTGTGATCTCTTAGTTGACTAATCTAATGGCCTTTTCTATCTCTCTGTAGCTTTTAATACTGCTGATCACCCTCTTCTGCCTAGGTTTTCACTCTCTCCTGGTTCTCTTCCTACCTTTCTGGCTCCTTCTCAATCTCCTTTGTTGGAACTTTCATCCAAATCACAACCACTAACCATAAGTGTGCCCTAAGCCTCTGTCCTGGGTCCTCTTCTCTTCTATCTCTATGCCATTTTGCTCAGTGATCTAATTGGCTTCCATGGATCCAACTATCATTTCTACACAGACCATTCTAAGACCTGCTGTAACTTCTCTTCTGATCTGTAAGTCTCACATCTCCAACTGCCCACTGGTCATCTTAAACTGCATATCCCATAGATACCTTAACTAAACCAATAAATTCAAAACTGAACTCATTATCTTTCCTCCCAAACCCCTCCCCTCTTCCTAAACTCCTTATTACTGTTGAAAGTACCACCACCCTCCCTGGCTCACACCCTAGGTGCCATCCCTTGACTCCTCACTGTCTCTGACCACCCTTATATCCAGTCACTTGCCAAGAAAATTACCACTTCTCATATCTCCCCCCTTCTCTCTAGACATTGCTACCACCTTGGTGCAGGACCCCATCCCCTCACTCCTGAGCTATTTCAATAGCCTTCTCCTCTACCTCAAGCTTCTCCCCACTCCAGCCCACTGTCCATTCAGCTATCAAATGGATTTTCCTGAAGCATGGATATAACCATGTAGGGGCCTTCTCCAGTTGTCCTGATCTATATCTGGCCACTGGACCCAAATGGCTCCAGAGGAGAAAGGGAGGCTGGTGACTTTGCACAGCCCTCCCTCACTTAAATCCAAGTCAACTGCAAGTCATGGCATGATCTTCCAGATGTCATAGTCCTCTTCAAGAACAAAGGACAGGGCAGCTAGGTGGCACAGTGGATAGAGCACCAGCCCTGGATTCAGTAGGACCTGAGTTCAAATCTAGCCTCAGATATATAACACTAGCTGTGTGACCCTGGGCAAGTCACTTAACCCCACTGCCTAACCAAAAAGAAAAAAAAAAGAGGCAAAAATTTTGGGGCAGCTAGGTGGCACAGTGGATAGAGCACCAGCCCTGAAGTCAGGAGGACCTGAGTTCAAATCTGGCCTCAGACCAAACACTTGACACGTACTAGCTGTGTGACCCTGGGCAAGTCACTTAACCCCAATTGCCTGAAAACAAAAACAAACAAAACAAAACAAAAAGAACGAAGGACAAACCACACACATAACCATGTCACTTTCCTATTCAATAAACTCCTGTGACCTGCTATTACCTCCAGAATGAAATATAAAATTCTGTCTTTGCCTTTAAAAATCCCTCTTTCTGCACTTTACTCTCCTGTGATCTGGTGACACTGGCCTCCTCTTCATTCCTTGCACAAACACTCCATCTCCTGAATCAATGTATCTTCGCTGGCTGCTCCTCATCATCCCTGCCTCCTGACTTCCTTCAAGTCTCAGTTAAGATCCTACCTTTGGCAAGGAGCCTTGTCCAGGCTCTCTCAATGCTAGTGCCTCCCTCCTGAGATTACCTCCAATTCACCACATATATACTTCTTGTTTGCATTTAATAGTTTGTTTACTGAATTTTCTTGTGCCTAATGCTTAGCACAATTCCTGGCACAGAGTAAGTACTCAATAAATGCTTGTTGACCTGATTTGAACACCTGACTACAAATTAAGAGACTTAACCCTAATTCCCACTCTTAATTCATTAGCTAACTAGCTGGATGACCACAGGCAAATCACTTCAATTTTCTGGGCCTCAGTTTTCTTATATATAGGACAAGGGGGCAGACGGGGTGACCTCTAAATTCCTTCTACCTCTTAAATTAATCTTGGAGTCTATGAGCCAGCCATTAAATGATTCTCCCTAGGGCAAGGTAGGGCTTCCAAACTAGAATGAACAAATCCCCTAGATAAAAGGATCTGCGTGGTAAAACTTGAGACTCATTCAAAAGACCCAAGGATCTAGAAGGCAACAGTGTGCCCACCCCTGCCCTAAGTCTTTAATTCAATTCAAGAAGTATCACTTAAGCAACTTCAGGCCTAATCAATCAATCTCTGTCTCTCTCTCCTTCCTTCCCCCACCCAACCCACTTCTCTCCAAAGAGAAAAATTGAATCATCTTGCCACTTCTCTAGGAGACATTTGACCACCAGCCAGTCACAAATAGAGTTTGGGACATGCTAGATGAGGCTAGAAAATAGAAAGGGGTCAAAAGAAACTTCTAGAGAGCTTCCTGGTTTTGGACAATTGTGTGTTCACAAAGTCTGGCCTGAGCAGAAGTCACAGAAAGCCTCTGAAATATAACCACTTGATAGAGATCAGTGATCAGCACTGGTTTAGGAGTCAGTAGGCCTGGTCTCTAGTGAATACCCCTTTCACCAACCTTGAACAAGCCCCTAACATTGAACTTAATGCTTCCAACTGGGACACAAGAATTATTCTATTTACCATGTGTCCCAAAGATATTCAGAGATATCCTGGATAAGTGTAGTCCAGCCTGTGCCCTAGGTTCCTCACGACAAATAAAGCCACTTTATTAACCTGTCCCTCTGAGCTTCTAACTTCCACAACTAGGGACAAAGGAGAAGAATAAATTCATGGAGGCTAAGGTGGGCACTCACTCCAGGACAAGCTTAGCAATCACATCCACTTCTCCTGAGATGGTCTGCAGCTGTGCTCGGGCCACAGCAGGACGAGTCCATACATAGGAATATGCTGGTGAGACCAAGTCCTGCAAACGACTGATGCGCCCCTGTTAAGAAAGGGATTGGAAAGAGGCTGTCAGAGACAAACCTCAGAAAGGGTTCTCCAGGGAAATCTAGGCAGGGTGGGCAGGAAGGGGTGCTCAAAAAAGAATGGCCCTGTACTTCTTTGTATTGCCTTGGGGCACAATGAAGAGGAAGGGGAAGGACAATATCATCCATGGTGACACCCTACCTAATCTGAGTCCCTATAAATGTACTCCTGTACGTACCTGTCCCAGCAAAAGGATCCTCTCTATGTAGTCCTCACTGAGGACATCCCTGTCCTCCAGATGCTTTCCATACACCTCCTCCACCATGGCCCGAAGCTTCTTCACAAGCTGGAGCCTCTGAGCCTTGTCATTCAACAATCGCATCAAATGCAGCCTACAGGAGAGTTTGAAATTATGTATCTGCTCCAGCAAGAGAAAGGGGATGTACGGGTAGGGGGAAGGAACTAGAGACAAGAGAAGATGGGGAGAAGAGAAGAAGCCCACTAGCATACAGGAAGTGTCCATGCTCCCCTAGTAGGAATGGAAAAGACTAAAGAATGCAAAAAAAAAAATTAATCTGGGGTACCAAATTATCCCTCCCTGTTCAAGGGAGGAGAAAGGAGTTTCTTTTCTTTTTACAGATGGAAAATCATATATATATATATATATATATATATATATATATGACTGTATATAATAAAGTAACATTTTCATATAAGTATAACTAGAACTTAGGGTTTCTGGTTTTTTGTCTCCTAGAATATGTTGAATCCTTGATCCTTACCCCTTACAAGGATTTTTGTGACTCACAATGACAGAAGTGTCCTGGAGATGGAGGCCTCTTTATGAATGAGAAACATTACAACATGCAACTGGGAGCTGGGAGCCCTGAGTCTCATTGGCAAGCATATAAAGGCTTTGTCAAATATCATCCTTGTTTCCTCCCAAGAATTATTTTCCCTCCTCCCAGAATAGCTTCAGAACCCCACAACTCCAGCTCATCATGCTTCACCTTCCCCTAGTACCCAGGCTAAACTAGACCCAGCCTTCTTATGATTTAGCAGCAATAACAAGAAAAGGCAAGAAAGTCCCAGGAAGAGAAGGCAAGCCCAGAGTCTCATTTCTTAATGTTTAGGGACTATCTGCACTTCTGAAAGCAGCCTGTTCTAATAGTCATGCAATAAATAATACACAGGGCACAGCTAGGTGGCGCAGTGGATAGAGCACCAGCCCTGGAGTCAGGAGAACCTGAGTTCAAATCGGCCTCTAGCACATAACTTACTAGCTGTGTCACTCCAAGCAAGTCACCCCAACTGCCTCACCAAAAAAGAAAAAAAGAATACACTGCATCCTGCTGATACTTTCACTGTTACTGGCAATTGATCTAAATGATTTAATAAAGATCTATATCATGCTTGTACTCAGGCCTGCATTTGAAAGGTACTATTTGAAAGATTTAATAAACAAAATTCAAAATAGGTAAATTATAGTGCTCATGAACTAGCTGGGAAAAAACTAACCACCACCACCGAAGTGAGATTCTTGGATCCTTAAGTAAATCTGATCAAATGAGATGCAGTTTTCAATGTAGTCAATGCATGAATATATTTTGCTTGGATACATATATTTATTACAAGGGTTCTCCCCTACCCAATGGGCTAAGTGGGAAGAATAGAAAATAAGTGCTTGTTCATTGAAAATATATTTTAAAATAAATAAATCTCATCATCCTGAGGTCTGGCCCAAACACAAAGCCAGCTAGCAACTGGAGTAACAAAACTGACCTGGGGAATAAAGGAGCTCTTCTTTGAGGAAGAGCCGTCCTCCAGTACGGCCCTCAAAACAGATCTAATCTATACCACCTACCTGTTAAATTCAGGAAGCTTCTCCAGATCCAGCAGGGCTGAATGGGTGCTGATCCCACTTAAGTCAAACTGTTCTATCAACTCTGGCAGCGTTCTCCCCATCTGGTTCCCTGCAAATCAGTCAGGCCTGTCAGGGTGGCACACTGCTCCTGAGCAGTCAGGCTCCTTTCCCCTTCTACACTGTAGGTTGATTCCCAAGACAGACTAGGCTGCTTCTCAGAACACAAGGATGAGATTCATCCAGCTTTTCCTACTGATTCCATTCACAGCCCCAGCCAAGAATTCAGGCCAGGCTCTTAGTAATTAAGGCTCTCTGAGGAGCAGTGCCAGGGGCCTCTCAGACTCTTAGAAAGGCCCTGCCTCCCCTGCCTCCCCTGCCTCCCATCACCACAGTACCTGCAAACCCTGAGCCATAATTGGTGATGATGTCTAACAAAGTCTGTGGGAGAAAGCCAGCTGAAGCAAAGTGTTCCAGAAAGATGTCCCCTTGCCGCTTGGACAACTTGCTGCCATCCTTATTGAGAAGGAGAGGCAAATGGGCAAAGCGGGGTGGCTCCCAACCCAGAGCCTTGTATAAAAGGAGATGTTTGGCAGTAGAGACAAGCCACTCACTGCCTCGAAGAACATGGCTGATGCCCATATGATGGTCATCCACCACACAGGCCAGGTGATAGGTGGGGAAACCATCATTCTTCAGGATCACAGGGTCACCCTCAACACTGGCCACTTCGTGCCGGTTCCAGCCATATACCAGGTCCTGGAAAGTCTCAGCTCCCTCCTCCAGACGGAAGCGGACAATTGGCTCGGCACCCTCTGCCAATTTCCTGGCCACGTGCTCAGGACTCAAGAGCCGGCAGCGATTGTCATACCTATTGAAATTTCACAGAAAATGTTCTCAGTCCAGGAATCCACAAACCCAGGATACCTTAGCAGAGCTTGAGCTGATCAACATCAGCTAGAGGCTAGGTTATATGTCAAAAGAAAACACAGAAATGGGATCTGGAAACATACTACACAATGATGACAATCACAGAGAAGGAAAGAACCAGGAAACAGTCAAAACAGAATGCTGCAAAATTATAAAGGGCATGCTTGGTCCCAAACAGGAGAGATGGAAAGCCACCCTGCCACTGCCCCACATCCTCCATCCCCACTCCTCCTTTGTAAAGGTACGTTTACAAAGGCATGTACCATCAGATTGTTGTTGTTGGGTTGACTGGTTTTGCTAAAAAAATTTTTTCTTTTCTTCCTCTTTAAAAAAAAATTCTTTGTTATAAATAATAGTTTTATGGGACGGGAAAGAATGGAGAAGGTGATGTAAAAACAAGATACCAACACAATAAAATTTATTTCAAAAAGAAACACAGCAATAAAAATGTCGCACTATGAGAGCCGAATAACAAAGTATCAGATACTTCTGGGTCAGCTCTCAAGCGCACATGGTGTACCGGGGTGTCTGGTGGTTCCTGAAGGCCTCTTTTTTCAGCAGCTCCAGGCGCTGTGGGGTACAGAAGCAATAGTAGGCAGCTCCAGTCCGCAACAGTGCTTCAGCGGCTTGGGCGTATAGGTTGAGGCGCTGAGACTGCTGGTAGGGCCCGACAGGACCTCCCCGCCGAGGGCTTTCATCAGGAGGAATGCCTGGGGCACAGGGGCATCAGGAAGTTAGCATTGGGCTACAAAAGTTCAGTCCTGCAGGAAGCCACCCAAAGAGCTGGGAAATCGAGAGCAAAACACACCTCCCCAACTACAGCCTGCCTCTCTTTCAACCCAGAGAACAAATTCATACCGACATCAACAAACATTCCCCAATATTGTAGGATGCTGGGAATATAAAGAAATATAAGAAAACTTCCTGCCTTCACAGGGTTGACCATGCAGCTGAGAGACAGAACATGCCTGAAAAGAAAAGGCAATAACTGTGTGACCCTGGGCAAGTCACTTAACCCCAACTGCCTTAAAAAAAAAAAAGAAAGAAAGAAAGAAAGAAAAGAAAAGGCAAAACACATGGAGTCCCAAATAAGCAGCAAATGAAATGGAAATTCATATATGGTCAAATCTACTCTGTTTCACAACATTGATCTCTCTGATTCCTCCCTATTATAATCCTCTCACTGCACTGTCATTTCCATGATCAGGAACTGAAGGCATTTCCCACAGCCAAGAGCATCAGAGTCAATCCACTGGGGCAGCTCTTCTGAAAGGCCCTTCCCTTCAACTGCTCAATCTCTGTCCCTCTCTTTCCCCATCAGCAGAATACTTGGGAGAAAAAAGGAATAGCTTTGGAAACTTCTCTGGATCTCAGGAAATGAACAGCAGAGCCAGAGGTCTCTCCAGAGTTGAATACTGAGGAAACCTTTCAGACCTTTCCTTCATACCCTTTCTAAAGAGAGGTATCTGCTAACCTGAGGACCTTCCCCAGCACCCCAACACAGCTAGCATCTTCCTCACAGTGACTGTGAAATTATTTGTCTTTAAATCATAGTACTCAAGAAGACCTCCTGTGGCCTCTTTTACTTCTCTAAATGGTATGGGTAGAAGTCTGGAAAAAAAAAACCTTTTATTACTGGACCCTACAGGAAGTTGTCTATGCTACCCCAGGGCATACCTGCCCACTCCAACATGTCCTCGATGTTCTCAGCAGCCCCAGGCACCAAGCGGGTTTGATCTGTGTCTTCCAACCTTAAGATGAAACTCCCTTTGTATTTCTTGGCAAAGATGTAGTTGTACAAGGCAGTGCGTAGGCCTCCCAAATGCATGAAGCCTAGTTAAAAGAAAGAAAAAAACCTTTCAATTATGCTTAGCAAGTGACTAAAATATCTAAACATTTTGACTCAAAGAGGCCATCCTCCTAGGCATATATGCCAAAGGGGTCAAAGACAGAAAGACCCTTCATATGCCAAAATACTTATAGCAGCACTTTTTTTGTAGTAGCAAATAACTGGAGACAAAGTAGACACCCATCCAATGGAAAAGCACAAAACAAACTATGACAGTGAAGGGAAGAGTATTGCTTCAACCTCAAAAGTGATGAATATGATGATTACAGAGAAACACAGGAAGACTTATAAGAAGGGATGAAGAGTGAAGTAAGCAAAACCAGGAAAACAACATACACAATGACTACAAAAAGACTACAAACAGAAAGAACCCCAAATCCCAACGGAACACCATGCAATCACAATAACCAAGCTTGGCCTGAAAGAAGAGAAGAGAAAATGTTCCCTTCCCTGCTCCCTTCTTTGCCATCGTGAGGACCTGTGAATGCAAAACAGTGTATATGCTGTAAGATTCAACTGACATGTTAGTTTTGTAGAACTGCCTTTGTTTTCTCTTTTTTTCTTTTTCATTCATTGCCATCAGAGATGGGTTTCTAGGAAGGAAAGGGGAGAGGTATATTTTAGCATCACAGAACGAGGGCTAGAAGTAATCTTAAAAGCCCATCCAGTCATATCTGTTTCAAGATGATAGGGATATAAAAACAAAAAATTGGTTTGTTTTTTATTTTTAGTTTTTTTTAAGACAATTGGGGTTAAGTGACTTGCCCAGGGTCACACAGCTAGTAAGTGTCAAATGTCTGGTCTGAGACCAGATTTGAGCTCAGGTTCTCCTGACTTCAGGACTGGTGCCCTATCCACTGCACCACCTAGCTGCCCAGGTTTGTTTTTTCAAAGGAAATGTGAACAAGACTTGAAAAGCTAACAGCAAAGTCACTGGCAGAGAGCTAGGCATCCAATGGAAACTGTGAGGATCTACTAACCAACCTCAGAGAACATTAAGTGTAGGGCCCAAGCCTTCAAATCCCCCAACACTCCTATGTATTTCTATTCGATCATAACCTCCTATCATTCCAACTGCCCCTATACCTCATCCCTCCTAAACCTATTCTTGGCCCTCACTGAGACCTCCAATCTCTGTATCTGTATTTCTCAAGACATTTGCCTTGCTCTGACTTTATGTTCCTCCCTGTACAATCTGTACCCTATCATTCCCCACATTAAATTCTACACTGTCCTCTGCTCTCAAATTCCCCTTGTCTTTTTGCTACTTCTCTTTCCAAATCTGAGCTCTGGCTTACTCCCCCCACATTCCTACTCCCCTGGAGCTAAACGGAGCTGGAGTTAAGTCACACACCCATGTTGACTGGGTACAAAGAAGGGCCCTCAATGAAGCAAGGCAGGGCTTTGTATTCACCCCTCATTAATAAGTCACTCCCCAGCCTCCCTCTTCAAGTGTCACATACCTCTTCCATTCCATCTCAAGAAGCTAAGGACCCTGCCTCTTACTTTCTTGAGAAATATGAGGCCATTTAATGTGAGCTCCTTCTTCCCTCACTCTCCTTTACCCCTTCTCCTTGCCAAGTCTAGGCCCCCTATTGAGATGTACTTGATCCCATCCCTTCCCAACTTCTCCAACAGACTGAAACTTCAATCATCCTCCCCACCTCCTCAAACTCCTCGAAAAAAGTTTACACTTGATTCTTTCACTTTCTTTCCTCTCACTCACTCCTCAATCTTTTGCCATTTGGCTTATAACCTCAGCACTCAACAGACACTAGTTTCTCCATGGTCTCATACTTGCCAAATCTGATGGTCTTTCTCAGTCATCTCTTGCATTTGATACCATTCACTACTTTATCCTTCTGGATAGTCTCTCCTCTAGGAGTTTTCCTACTCTATGCTATTCTTTCCTAGTTCTCTTATTTATCTGACCACTCCTTCCCAGTCTCTTTTGCTGGCTCATTACCCATATCCCATATCCTAATTGTGGACTGTGAGTATTCCCCAAGGTTCTGCCCCAAGGCCCTCTTCTTTTATTCCTCTAGAGTGTCTCTCTTGATAATGTCATTATCTTCTACGTAACTAGCATCTCCATGCAGATGACTCCCAGATCAACATATCCAATCCCAGAGTCTCCTCTTCATAACCTGTCACTTACTGGACATTTTAAACTGGATGTCCCAGATACCTCTCAAAATCAACATGCCCAAACAACTTCTTATCTTTCTCCCAAACCTTCCTATTTTCCAGACTTCCCTATTTCCATTAAAAGGTACCATGAGCTGTATTCCAAAGAGATCATACAAATGGGAAAAGGACCCACATGTACAAAAATATTCATAGCAGCTCTTTTTGTGGTGCCAAAGAATTAGAAATTGAGAGGATGCCCATCAATTGGGGAATGGCTGAGCAAGTTGTGGTATATGAATGTAATTGAATACTATTGTGCTGTAAGAAATGATGAGCAGGTTGACTTCAGAAAAACCTGGAAAGACCCACATGGTCTGATGCTGAGTGAAGTGAGCAGAACCAAGAGAACGTTGTACACAGTTAACAGCCACGTTGTGCAATGACTAATATTGATAAACTTAACCCTTCTGAGCAATACAAGAATCTAAGACACTTCCAGAGGCCTCATGATGGAAAATACTATCCACATCCAAAGAAAGAAGTATAGAAGTTGAATTGCTATTTTTTTTCCTCTTCGGTTGAGTTTTGTTTCCTCTTTCTGATGGTTCCTCCTGTTGGTTTTAATTTTTACTTACAACATCACTAATGTGAAAATATGTTTAATAGGAATGTAAATGTATAGCCCATATCAGATTGTGTGCCATCCTGGGGAGGATGGTGGGGAAGAAGGGGGAGAAAAATTTTCAACTCAAAAGCATATGGAAGTGATTGTTGATAAATCAAAATAAATTTTAAAAAATTTAAAAAAAAGGTACCATGAATCTCCCAGGTTCACCATCTCAGCATTCTTTTCAAATTCTCACTCTTCTTCATCCCATCTATCCAATCAGCTGCCACATTTTGCCATTTTGACCTCCATAACATCTCCCACAAACCCTCTTTTCACTCACATAGCTACCACTTTAATTCAGGCCTGCATCACTTTTCCCCTAGGTTACTGCAACAACCTCCTAATTGGTCTCCCTGCCTCAAGCGTCTCACCACTCCAGGTCATCCAACTCTGCTACACCACAGCCATTTTCCTTCAGTACAGGTCTGACCGGGCCACTGTCCTACTCAATTGAACTCTAGTGGCTCCCTACTGGCTCTAGTTTAAAGTAGGAACTCTACTAAACAGCTTTTAAAGCTCATCACAATCTGGCACCAACCAATCTTTTCAGGTCGATTTGATATTACTCACCCCCTACACTATGCCATCCAGTCAAGCTGGACTTATTCTGTTCATTACACAGGACATTCCATCTCTTATCTTTATAACTTCATACTGCCATCCCCTCCCCATCTCCCCTTCTTAGAGGGAATCCTCCTCTTCCTTCAAGACTCAACTCAAGCTTCCACATAAAGCTTTTCCTGATCACCTGAATGACCCAGTACTCTCCCCCTACCAAGCTACCTTATTCTTAACTATTTTGTTTTAATCTGTATTTATCCCCTTCATATCAACTCTGTACTCAACCATATATGTATTTATCATCTCCCCCCCAATTAGAATGTAAGCTCTGTGAGAGTCGGGATGGTTTCATTCTTCATATTTGTATCCCCAGCACTGAGCCCAGTACTCAGTGTTGCATAAATTTGGCTTGCTGATTGTCTGGCATGCTTCATAGGACCAGAATCCAACAAGTCAGCTATGTAGAGAGAGCATATGTAATAACAAGAGGTTTATATTCCCCATTTTAAAGTCAAAGAAACTGAGGCTAAGACAATTTAAGTGACTAGCCCAGGGTCAAATAACTAATAAGTGACTTAGGGAGTATGAGAATACAGGTATTCCTAATTCTACATCTGGCATTCTATACTCTACCCCAGGGGTAGGGAACCTGTGGCCTCAAAGCCACATGTGGCCCTCTAGGTTCTCAAGTGCAGCCCTTTGATTGAATCCAAACTTCATAGAACAAATCCTCTTAATAAAAGGATTTGTTCTGTAAAACTTGGACTCAGTTAAAAGGCCGCACCCAATAACCTAGGCTATATGTGGCCACTCCTGCTCTACCCTATACTGCCATACATAGAAAGCATAGTAGCTCACTTCTGAAGGGACCAAGGCAGCTGACTACAGAGAGAAAGAGAGGCCTATATCTTCAAGTATAAAAGAGAGAGACTCAGGGTCCCTCTCACTAGGAATAAAAATGTCCCTAGCTTGTTGGAATATCAAGTTTTTAAATTCTATTCCTTATATCAGTAGCTTCACACATCTCATTTAGCCAACCTGTGTCAAATCACTTACATTTGGCAAAGCTCAGGAAGACAAGCATTTCTTTCTATAAACTTGAAATGCCATGAAATGAGTGAAATTTTTTGCAAAGTCAGATTTTCATCCAATGCAATTAAATCAGGATTACATTTCTCTTGACTGAGGTACTGGCTAAGTGCCTCATTCCCTTGAGATTGTATTTTTTCACTCTGCCTTCAGAGATGACTTAAAAATATAAATGCAAGTTTTCTGGGTAATGCCAGATTTTCTCTCTATGAAAACAAAGTAGGATCTGCTGCATCAGCCTCACACCAACAACTTCTGGCATATCCACGACTTCCCCCGTAAGGCTTCAAGTGGGTGGAAAGACTCCATAAAATCCCCAAAAAGCCATAAAAAATTATGTGTATACAGGTACTAAATTTATTTGTGTAAGTAAACAGGGAAATGAAATTAAGGATATTTGTTCATACTCTAAAACTGTGGCACTTCTGAGCCATAAAGGTTAGTCTTTTCAAAAGAAAATTGCTTAGGTCGATGCCTGGTTAGGGCAGCTAAGTGGAGAGCAGTGGATAGAGTAGTGGGCCAGAAGTGGATAGAGTAGTGGGCCAGAAGTCAGGAAAGACTCATCTTCCTGAGTTCAAATCCAGCCTCAGACACTTACTAGTTGTAAGACCTTGGGCAAGTCACTTAACCCTGGTCACCTCAGTTTCCTCATCTATAAAATGAGCTGAAGAAGGAAAGGGCAAATCACTCAAATATCTTTCCCAAGAAAACCCCAAATGTGGTCACAAAGAGTCAGACACAACAGAAATAACTAAACAACAAAAGATGTCTATCTGGAAGGCTGACCAGGAAGCAATCGGAAAAGGGCTTTCGGCCTACGTAACTGGGAAGCCTCGAACAAATTACTTAAATGTACTGGGCCTCAGTTCATAGAATCATTGACTTAGAGCTGAAAAGGATCATAGATGTCACACAGCCTAACTCCCACATTTTATAGATGAGGAAAATGAGCCCAGAGAGGGTAACCTGCCAAATATTGGGGTTTCTACTTCCATAACACCACTCCCTTCTGTCCCCTACTTTATACTCACACACAACCCTAGTTCAAGGTCACATTTCCTCTCACCAGGGCTATTTTAATAACATCCTACTTGGTGTCCCTGGCTCAAATATTTCACTACCCCATTCTATTCTCCAGACACCAAAGTGATTTTCCTAAACCACAGGTCTGACCATGTCATTCCCTCCTCGACAAAGTGAACTGATCCCTATTACCTCTAGAATCAAATACAAACTCTGGCATTTAAAACTTTTCACAATCTTTCTAGCCTTATTACAAATTATTCCCCTTTATGTCCATGGTCCAGCCAAACTGGCCTTCTTATTGTGTTCTCATACACGAGACTCTATCTCTTGTTTCCATTCTCTTGTATTGGCTGTACCTCATGCTCTATCTTCTTAGATAAAATCCCTAGTTTCTTTTAAGTCAAATGCTACCTTCCACATGAAGCTTTTCCCGATCTCTCCAGCACTGTTGTTCTTCCCACGCCCAAAATTTATCTTGTATCTATTTTGTGAATGTCTATATATGTACTCCTTGTTCCCCCTCCTCTGGTCAGGGCAGGGACTCTTTCTGAGAGTTTTGTCTTTAATATCTTCAGTGTCTAGCATAGCTTGGCACAGAGCTTGGACTTAAATGCTCGAAGGAATAACTGACTGTTCAAGGGCACAGTTAGTTAAGTGGCAATTATAAGATAAAACTTACATTTTAATCTGTATCAACCCTGCCTCGGTTTCTTGGGAACAGAAACACCCTACACAACCTCCTTAAATGAATCCACAAAAACACAACCTAGGCAACATAATGTAAAAGTTAATTTCACATATTTAATATTATAATTTAATATTGTTATAATATTAAAAGGGCAATTACCATTACAGCAGTTTTCACATACTTTGGTACTAAAGTTTTGAGGTTACAGATAAATGGCATCACTTACAAAAACCATTAGAAATACTTCAGAGCACGCATCAACACAATGACCAACGGTGACTTCCAAGGATCTCATCACAGGAGCATGATTCCAGAGGTGGACCATAAGTGAGGAACGATATACATTTTCAGTCACGGTCAATGTATTGACTTGTTTGCTTAATTGTCCTAATTTGTTACAAGCAGGTGCTTTTCCTGAGAGGTGGGGGTTCTCTTCGGAAGTAAGATTAATAAAAAAAAGACCAATAAAACCCCTTCTTTAAAATAATTGAGATCCTTACATGAGACATATCAGCAACTGCATTAACCACCTCAGGGCAGTTGCTTGCAACTGGTTCAAACGAGAATGTAGTGTTCATTCAACAAGCACCAACTAGAAGCAGAGATGATTTTTGGCTTCCACTAGCTTAATACTTTACAAGCTCATTTGCAGGTATGTAAAGCTACTTGGTGAAAATGCTGTGTACTGTACTGCTTGGATAAATTTACCCGGGGGTGATCTCTTCCCTTTCTCGCAGTCCCTCCCCGTCCCCGTTCCTAGTAAGTTTCTTCTCTTCCCTCTTCCCCCACTCCCCACCCCCGACCGGCGCAGCCGCTAAGCCTAGAAACCTTGCTGATGGATACTTAGTTACCTGTGGGGCTCGGGGCGAACCTGACTCTCACAGCGGGGCTCTGCGGTCCCGGGCCCCCGCAGTAACCGCGCCATCGCCCCGCCCTCCAGGGCGCTCGGGCCAAGCGCAGCTGGAGCAGCCCCAGCAGCAGGACCGCCATGTGCGACTGAATGCACACGTGGCTAAACAGGTTCACTTCCGGGAGGGGCGCTAGCCAATCCGCTCCTCCCTTCTGGAGGAGGCGGAGCCTCCCTTTAAAAGGACAGAGTCCCTTTTCGCCCAGTCCTAGGGAATCTGCTCTGTTTCGGTGGGAAAGGAATACTGATCGTCGCCGGACAGTTAGTTCCCACACCTTTGGCCCAAAAGACAGGACAGCTGCCATCAACCTCCTAGGGAATAGCGAAAGGAGAGGCGGAGAGAACTGGTGAGTCTCCATAGGAACCTCCACCTGTTTCCGGTGGGCGTGTGGTGTGTGTGTGTGTGTGTGTGTGTGTGTGTGTGTGTGTGTGTGAGCGCGTGTGTACGTATGTGTGTGGGGAGGGGGAGAGTACGGGCCGAGACCGGGGCCAATCTCGTCTGCTCGGCGTTTCCCGGCGGCCTCCTCGCTGCGGTGGGTGTTGTACACAATCATCATGGCGGCGGCCGGAGCCCCGGATGGTGAGTATGGGGGGCAAGTTCGGGGAAGAGAGGACTGGAGGGCTGGCGGCCCGGAGCCGGGGCTGTGGAGGAAGGGGCGGAAGGGAGCGGCGGAGCCTCGGCGGGAAGGGAGGGCGAGCGGAACGGAGAGGGCAGGCCGGCCGCCCGCCCGCGAGGAAAGGAGCGGAGCCGGTGCTGCGAGCTCCCCTCGAGGGCCCTGTCCTGGAGCCCGAGCCCGAGCCCGAGCCCGGAACCGGGCGGGCATCCGCGGGCTGCGTGGAGCTGAGAGAAGGTGAGGCAGGGGGTCGGCCCCGCCCCTCCCCCAGCATGCCGCCCTCAGCGCCGCGCCGCGCGCCGGGCCCCAGATGCCGCCGCCGCCTCCTCCAGCCTCGGCCCCTTTGGACCGCCCCCCCGGGGAGCAGCAGGAGGCCGGGGCACCAGCGCCGCCGCCGCCCGTGCTTCGCACTCCTGTGGATTTTGTTTCGTGTTTAGAAGTCGAGGAGCCCGGCATGGACACGGATGCCCAAAAGCTGCAGCTCAACTGCGTGGACGCCGAGGCTGAGACCTCCTCCTGCTCCTCCGCGTCCTCGGCCGCGGCCGCGACGGCCAAGGGCAGCCTGCAGGCAGACCAGACGCAGGGGGCCATAGCCAGTGCCCAGGCCGCGGTCAGCAACGGCGACGACGCCGACGCCGAGAAGGAGCTGGTGGACCTGAAGATCATCTGGAACAAGAACAAATACGACGTGCGGGTGCCCCTGGACAGCACGGGGGCCGAGCTGAAGCGTAAGATCCACTCCATTACAGGTGGGTGGCCGCCTCTGGCCAGCCCTGACGTTGGAGCTGGCCTTGGAGCTTATCGGGAGCTATAGCCACCGCATTTATGTATCAGCTTTAAAGCGTGCAAAGAACTTTACGTTCCATCCCCACGACAACCCAGGGAGGGAGTTGTTATTATGTTCCCCATTTTACAGATGGAAAAACGGAGGCTGGGAGAGGTTAAGTAACTTGCCCAGGCTCACACAAGGTAGGAAGTCTGAGGTCAAATTTGAATTCAGATCTGCCTGCCTCCGGACGCACTGTGCCCCCTAGCTGCCTTCAGGGAGAAAAATTTCATGTGCTGATGGGGCCTGGGCCACTGTGGGCAATCCAGCTTCTTAAACCTGGGGTCTGGGCATAGATTTTAGGATGGTAAAATTTGTGTGGTGAATGTGTGTGTATATCTATGCATGAGAGCATATGCGTTGGACACATATATGTTTGTGTGTCCATATATTTCAATATAATTGGTTTCCTCAGTAATCTTAGGTATTTATTTTATGCATTTAAAAACATTCTGAGAATTCTTTCCTGAGAAGAGGTCCATAGGCTTCACCTATCAGTCAGAAGAGTCAAGGACATCCCCCCCGAAAGGTTATGAATCCCTGCTTTTAAACAAGTAACCTTTGCTAACAATGATTATAGTTCACTTTTTTAAGTTAGCTTTAAGTTTTGCAAAATACTTTACAAAGGTTGCTTCATTTAACACTCTTTCCCCCCAAAACACCGTGAAATAGGTTGTTTTTATCCTCATTTTGCAGAGGAGGAAACTGAGGCTTAGAGACAGACAGTAAGTGACTGACCCAGCATTACACAGTTCATCAGTATGTAAGGCAGGATTCAGATCTAGGTTTTACTGAATTTTGAGTCCAACACTTTATCCAGTGTCCCCCACTTGCCAGTCTTATGGGTGAAGGGAATTCCATGAAGAAATGGAATCACCAGGTTGTGCTCCCCTCCACCACCACTACTATCACCACCCCCCAAAAAATTCTAATTAAATTGAATAGATCCAAATAAATTCACCCTTGATTTTATTCCTCTCTGCCATACTTAAGGCCTACCACCTGCCATGCAGAAAGTTATGTTTAAGGGACTTCTACCTGAGGAGAAAACATTACGGGAAATCAGAGTAACCAGTGGTGCCAAGATTATGGTGGTTGGATCTACAATCAATGATGTCTTAGCAGTAAACACACCCAAAGATGCAGCACAGCAAGAAGCAAAAGCTGAAGAGAGTAAGAAGGAGCCACTTTGTAGGCAAAAGGTTCGTGACTTATTAATTAGTACTGGTGCTAAGACTTTGGGGTTTGTGTCATTTCTTAGAGCCCAGCCTGTTGGTTCCATTCTTCCTTGAATAAGCTATATCTTGGCTATAGTCCATGATAGAAATATCTGCAACAGCGTTCTGGCCAGGTAGATCTTAAGGGAAGTTAAAACTGATGGTTTGGCATCATTTTTTCATCACTTATAATTAGCATATCCAAAGACTAACCATATAAAATAAGGAGACTTCATTTTCCATGTTGTGGAGCTCTGAGTTGGGGGTAGTAAACAATGTCTTCTAATATACCACGACATGACCCTTACAGAAGGAGTTGGTGACCTACGGCAGTAAGTGTGCCCAGGTTTGCTTTGTTAGGTAAAATACTTAAAGAGTTCTTGCAACCAGAAATAATAGCTTTCATATCTGTAAGACATTCACATAAAATGTGAAGCTCCAGATGTATTTAAAGAGGCACATTTGCCTCTTCGTGTATTAAAAATGTGCATATACTGTTGTGTTTACCTGACCAAGGTAAACCAAAAGCTCTTTGTCCTTTACAATTGTTAGACTGACAGGAAAAGGCAATTTTAAACTGCATTTTAGGTGCATTTTGTCTGTCCTGAATTCTCCTGCAAACTCTCCTAGCTCTGTTATTTTATTTTATTGTCCTGGGTCTTCTCTGCATCTTTTCTTGTCATGCAAATGTGTAAATCCATGAGTGTATACTCTCCTAATAATTAATACTCTAATACTGTTTATGTTTAACATGTCAAATTTTTTGTGGGCACAGCATGCCCTTAAATACAAGGTTGTGTTTCTGACGCAGACTTAATAAGCCTAAAGCTTTTCCCCATAGTATAACCTTCAAAAGGGACCCATAAAGCATGATTCAATTATGCTGTTAATATACTGACTTACTCTCCTGATGCAGGTTATGAGGCATAACACTGCCTAATGAGAGGAACCCAACCCTTGGACTTTTTTTCACCCTCTTTAAGAATATGTTGATGTCAAACTCAGAAAAACTGGGAAGGAATAGAAAATGGTTATTCTGGCATTCTAGCTGCTCATAGGGTTAGATTCTTTATTGTCTTCCATATTCTGAATATCTGTCCTACTTGACAAGAACTTCAATAAGTACTAGATGGAAGAAAGATGATTTGGGGGGAATTGTGAGGCATTGTATCTTCTGACTCATTTAATAAGCATTATGTGAACAACTTTAAAGTATTGGTGGGTGGGTAAGGCTTTCTCTGACATCCAGGCTATAGATTAGTATTTCTTAATTCAAATTAAAGCCATTATATCTGCCTCCAAAGTCTGTGATAATATTAGTATCCCCCCCCAAAAAAAGTGCAAACTACTTTTCAAGAAAAAAACATCCAACCATGGACAAGTGAGTCTAGCTCATAAGGAGACTTTCTCCATACTTTTAGGGGTTTAATCAAGTGAATGTTATTTTTAGTGTTCTGAGAGTTTAGAATTGCCATACTATGGTTCTGTTTTTGTTTCTGCCAGACATTTTGTATGCTTGTTTTGCCTGATATTCAACTTTCATACACATACACACACACACACACACACACACACACACACACTCTTTTTTTTAATTTGAGGGAGGGGACAGGACAGGATGGGAACTATGACAGGGAAGATGGGGACGGACTGAGAATCAGAGAAGCCAAGTTAGCATGAATTAGCCTTAAGGGATACTAAAATTAAAAAACAAAAACAAAAAATTTACTTTCAAGTATTCAGTTATCTGGAGTCCTTTTAAAGCAAAATATTAGGATAGGAATTTTTTTTTCCATTTTACTCATCTAAAGATTTCAGAGTGATATAGTTTTACATTTTGGGGATAGTAAGGGCCATGAAGAAGTAAATACCTCACTTCAGGCGTGTTTCTCTGCATTGTAATTTCTGATTTATGTTCTAGCAACACAGAAAAGTGTTAGATAAAGGGAAACCTGAAGATGTGATGCCTTCTGTTAAGGGTGCCCAGGTAAGCAAAGCCCCTTGACCCATTGTGGTCATTCTGAAGTCTTGTGACCATTCCACTATGTTTGGTTTTCTGATATTCCTTCCAATTCTTCTTCCCCTCGGGGAAGAACCGTCTTTATTGCCAATATTCTGTAGTTTGATCCCTTCTTTGTTGTTCCTTTTATCTATATGACAGTCTTTGCTGCCACACCAGTTTTCTTATGTTTCCAGGAACGACTGCCAACAGTACCTTTATCAGGCATGTACAATAAGACGGGAGGAAAAGTGAGACTTACCTTTAAATTAGAACAAGACCAGTTGTGGATTGGCACTAAAGGTAATCTGCTATTGACATAACCTCCTATTTCTTTCTTCAGAATCAATTTGTTTCTGTTGCATATCTGACCCTTGTTCTAAACTAACCTCTGTTTACCATACTCTAGATATTGCTCATTGTTTTATTTACACCTTTACATATTTAAGTTCAGTTGTACCCCTTTTTTATTATCTTTTCAATCTTATGTTAGTGCCTCCCGATTTAAGGATTCCCTTTTTAGAAGGGCTATTAAATTGCCTACTAGGTGAGTGAGAGAGACAGCTGTGCTATATAACGGAAGCCCTCTGAACTTGGATTCAGGTGAGAATTGGCTTTGAATCCTGCTTCCAGCTCTTAGCTTGTGTAACCATGGAGGAGTCCTTAAAATCCCTGAGCCTTAGTTTCCTC